GCAGACTAAAGGCTTCAAATCGAATGGTAAAAATCTAGTCTACAATTAAATACTGGACTTTTTAAATGCCCTGCATCTGTTTTTGTACGGCAGAGTATCAGAGCCATGGTTAAGGACAAAAACATCATGTTTTTCAGGATAAAGTCTTCATTTTTCAAGTAAAATTTGTAATATTATGAGAACAAAGTTGTCATTTTGAGAAAAATCATAATTTCACAAGAAAAATCCTCCATCTTGTAATACTACTTAATAATCAAAATGTTATGACTTTTTAAAATAAAATCTTACAATATTACAATTTATCTTGTAATATTTGATATTTTTTACTTTGTTTTATCCCCAAATACTACTTGATTCTCATAATATTATGAAATTCTTTTCCCAAAATCTCTCACAGTGGCTCTAATACTATGATATTTTATTATTTTTGGTACCAACCGGTGTAAGATTTTGTATTTGTGCCCTTCAGTTTGTATTTAACTAAGGAAATGGGGAGTTAATTGTCACTCACATCCCTGAAACTGATAAAAAACCCACAATTTACGGTGAGAAATCACCTGGAACCATTCAAACGCTGGTTGGTTTTGGCTCTTCCATCAGTCTATCTGAGTTCTTAATCACCTCTGACGTTCCCTCTCATGAATCCACTTCTGCTTAACCCCATTTGGCATCCTGAAATCTAATAAAAACACTCTTTTGCTGAGAGGGATGCAGAATGAGCACAGAGGCGTGTTGCAGCGTTTTGATCCAGGTGTGCGTTCGCTGTACATGTCGGCCGTGGAAGCTCCGCCCGTCTCGGCTGCTCACGTCAGGAGGGTGTGTTTGGAGGCGGGTTCTCCAGCAGAGCCTGGACCGTGATGCCCAGCTTCACCAGGCCTTTCTCCTCCAGGATGTGGTGAGGAAGACACAGTTTGTCCTGGGAGACCAGAGTCAGGGCAGACAGAGAGGACAGGAGAAGAAAAGGAGGAAGTGTAGGAGCAGCAGAAAAGAGACAAGGGCAGCAAAAGATTTAGAAGTTTTGACTTCACCGCTGGCAAAAACATGTTCAGCACATACACCAGGTCTGCACTGGTACCTGATGCTTCCAGGAAACAGCCACAGCCCCACACTCCCTCCACAGTCCTACTTAACTTTTAGATATTCACAAATATATATTACTGCTTGTTGGTGGATTTTTGTTCATTTACTGTAAAAATTATACACAAGTAGGATAGGGTTGGGTTTCGAGAACCGGTTCCAAGTTGGAATTGGCACCAAATTTCCAAGAACCTTGGATTCATTAAGAACTGTGCATTTGGATTCTGCTTCTCGGTTCTTAACTTCCTGCATATTTCAGCTCCTGACTGAACTGCAGTGAGCCTTTCACAGTCCATAAAAGTGTCTCTCATCTGCCAGGAGCTGCTCCGCCGCCCTAACGTCACCTCATTTGTTACGCAGTACGTCAACAAAGCATGAAGAAGAGAGTCCTTCTGTTTCCAGTCCTGGACCATGGCGGACCGCAGTAAAATGCAACACCTGCAGTAAGGAGGTTTGGTGCGAGGGAGGAAGCGGCTCCAACATGACGAAGCATTTACCTCAACACGGCGTGAATCTGAAGGAACGCACCGTGTTCGATGTGTCGCTCTCTCCCGGCTACAACGACGCCCCACATACAGCGAACGCTAACAGTAGCAACGTCTCAGGTACAAAAACACAGGTGAGCTGACTGAAACCAATGATGTCTACAAAGGATTCAATATATATTTTTCTTAGAGACCAGTCCTCAGAGACGCCCCTCCAGTACAGAGACTCCTTTCACTTTAGCCATGAAGGGGAAGATGAGCAAGGAGGAAGAGGATGAAGGTCACAGAGCGCTGACAAGATCTGTGGTGAAGGAACCAGAACCAAAAGAGTCCATAAATAGAATCAGAATCGATCACATTGAAACGATACCCAAACCAAAAGCAGGATCAATGATCATATGTGCAGTGAAAGACTCAGAATTTCAGAAAGCTTCATATTTTTTAAGGATAATAAAGCACAAACTGCTTTAACTGCATGCATTTCCCGCTAATCGAAGGAAGCTTTTTAACAATTTATTTAGCTTTAGGAGAAGTAAGAGTGTAAAACCCATAATTTAGCACGTGACTCAAGTTTCATACTTTGCGACACTGAGATGATTGTGTCACATGTAACAGGTGGACTCTTGTCTACGTTGGGAAAAGTTCAGATTAAAAAGGAACAGGTCGACACGCTTGTTTGCTTTCTGGTCAAGAGTTAGCTGAGAAGATCGATACCGCTCTCATATCTGTCCATTAAATATAAAGCCAGAGCCAGTAGAATGTTAGCTTAGCATAAAGACGGGGGAAACAGCTGGCCTGGCTCTGTCTATTGGTAAAAAAATAAAAGTGTCTGCCAGCAGCTCTAAAACTCACTAAGTAACACATTACATTTGTTTAATCTGTACAATGCGTATAGATTAAACAAATCTTCAGATTACACAGAAATGTAAAAACATCAATTTGATTGAAAGTGATTTTATTGGGGTGATGTGCTGGACTATTTCTTGGCAGGACGCCAACAGTCTCCTGGCTGTAGCTTCATATTTAAAGGGCATATCAAAGTATCTATGGTCCAGTTAGGCTCTCAAGTTTAAGTCTGCTTGAAGACTACTAATTTAAACAATGACGTCGTAGAGCAGACAGCATCCCTAAACTGTCTTTATTACCTCTTTAACACTCTCAAATATCATACACAAGTCATAAAAATCCCCACCCCATACATGAAATCCCTTCGTATCAGCAAGTTAAAAAATCTGTGCACAGAATGTGGAAACAGCAGAAATTTACAGCTAGAATTATTTCACAGAATATGAATATGTGAATAGCTAAGTTAAAAATCTAATTCATAATAACAGAAACGAACAGTTTATGAACATTTAAACAGGTGTAGATGTAATATTCTAGTTCCACAACATCCAAAATGAAATGCCAAGTACCAGTGAAGACGTCTGTGTTTATTCAGTTCCTGTGAATTAATCCAACAGCCAATCTTACTTGGCAACTCAAAATTATTTTTTTAAAATTTGCAGTTCCTCTCAGCGTTACAAACAGAGCGATATTCTCCTCGATGTATCAAACCCTCAGACAAACATCTTGAGAAGAATAACATAAATATATATCTTCATAAACTCATCTAGTGTCTATAGCCCTTCAAATGTTCAGTCACTTTGCATATCAGGACACAGCAGAGTGGGAATAAATTAAAATAAGCCAAAAGGAGAACCAATAAATAAATAACATCAACTCCACATTTTTCTTAACTTTCAAAACATCTCAAATAACAGTTTAAACTATCAATTTAGACAAATTAGGACATCACATCTAACTGATTTAAATATGGCTTCCGTTTGCTCCCCGCCGCTTCATAATGTGCAGGGACTCTTCTAATATCCTAATATATGAGTTAAACTGGTGTTTAACTTTGGATGTGAAATGAAAGAGTAACACAGAGCCCGGCCTTCATCCTGCTCTCCCTGAAAAACATCTTTTCAGTCCATCGGTGATAAAACAGAAGGGCTTCAGCAGAACCATTTGGTAGCCATATTGGAGGTCCGCAGCATGTGATTGTACAAAATAAAAGGCTGTTCTCAGAATAGTTTGGTGGACATGTTTAACTGGTAAGTTCAGTGTATTTAAACCTGGGCCATATTTCCATATAGGCTTGTGTTGAAATGATCAGTAGGTACCGAAGAGTTTTGAATCTGTACAGTAGATGCTTCAGCCGGCAGCTAAACCGGCTGCAACGTATTCCTTCGTTCCCAGAAAGTGGAAAGGATCCCTACGAGGGACTCTCAGTGACACCTTTATTTTTAACAGGAAACTGAAGTCTCGCTCTGCAATCTTATAAGAGGCGAGTTGTTGTAGGAAGACGCTGGTGTAAACGAGGGAGAGGAGTTTGTTGAGGAGCTGCTAGCAAGACTTTATTTATTTTATTATTATTATTTAACGTTACTCCAACACAACACCAGCAACAACTCACCTCTCATGAGATTTCAGAGCAAAGCTCATCCTTGAGCGAGATTTCGGTTTCCTGTTAAAAACAAAGGGTGCCACTGGGAGTCACTCATAGGGTTTGCGGCTGCCGGCTGATGCCATCTACTGCACAGATTCCACAACTTTTTGCAACTTTTTCCACACCAAAATATGTAAAAATACCATTTAGACTCTGATCTAAAGATCACTGGCCCATCTCACTTTATTTGGCTTATTAGAAACTCTTTAGCTAATCGTCTTTGTGTTGTTGTTCAGACATGCCAGTTAGCAGTGATTCAAGGTGGTGAAAGGTCAAAAAAGCGTTAAAGTTGTTTAAATATCTAGGTTGCATAATAAAAACAACATTCCTGCGGACCACCAAACCACAAACCTAAATGGATCGTCTCAGATCTTTTGGCTGGCTGCTCTGCTAAAAACTGGATTCAACTATAAATACATCAAAAATCTGAACATGACCACTGAATTTGTTTTGTCAAAGAGGAGATGTCAATACTGGCACAATAATATTTTTCTTTTTCAGGACCAAAGTGGGACCATAACAAGAATTTAGTCCTAAACATTCTGCATTCACATCCTGCACAGACCAGTTTTTATCCCAGCTGTACAGCGTGGCAATAAGACATCAGGGACTTTAAGGAACCTGCCGGTCCACATGTCCTGCTTCTGTTTCAGTCACTATATCGCAAAAACACAAACACGTTTGTTTGAGCTGATTTTTCCCCAAATGGGTGACAAAAAGAGAAAACCAGGAGGAGAAGGTGAGGAGAGAGGCTCATGCCGACGCTGCATTTGTATCACATGGGATCAACAGACACTTTCTTCTTATTATTATTATTGTTCCCACATGGGATATTTAAAATATCATGAAAGGAGCTTTTGAATGGTGTTGACTTTACTTTGTTGTTGGCTGGGTTTTGTGTTTTTGACAGATGTTAAAGAGCAAGTATGCCCAATATTTGTGCCAGACCTCTTATAGTCAGAGCCACTACAAAGACAGGGAGTCTGGTGGAGCTTTGACAGCCTGTAGAAGAGCGTTTATGTACCCTTAAAGAGTTTCTGTGTGGGTGGGGCGTTTCGTACGAGAGAATCTACCGGTGTGTGTGTCTGTGGGAAGCGCCAGTACACAGCTCTGAATGCAGGCCAGCTATCTTGAGGACTGATGTGTAAAAGAAGAACTCTTTTTAACTTTATTCACAGTATTCATATCATCACTTCATCTCCCAATCGCAGGTCAAAACCACAGTTCCAGAGAAACGGTACAAAAGCCTCAAACACACATAAATGATGTGTGGAAAACTGAGAAGGATCCGTTTTTATCTGATCTACATCTACCTGTTTCCAAAAAAGTTGGCACGCTGTGTAAAAGGTAAATAGAAAAAAAATGTGATGTTATGCAAAACATCGACACCATCCATCCATCATCAACCGCTTATCCTGCGTCGTGGTGGGCCGGAGCCAATCCCAGCTCACATCGGGCGAAAGCGTGGTACACCCTGGACAGGTCCATCGCAGGGATCAAAACATCGAAAACACATATTTAATAGAAAATAGCACTAAGACAACTTATCAAATGCTGAAACTGAGAAATGTTATTGTTGATTGAATAATATTATACGCCCATTTTGAATTTGATGCCAGCAACAATTTTCTAAAAAAGTTGGACCACTGGCAACAAAAGACTGGAAAAGTTGTGAAATACTAAAAGGGATCTGCTTTATATACGTCTTTGCATGGTAGAGTTTCAGCTTGCATTTGTGAACGCAGCGATGAGCTGTGTTCAGAGACGATGAAGTGTTTTTGGAAGTGTTGCTCAGTGATGTCCAATAAAGAATCCCAAAGAGTGCCCAAAGGCCACGGCCATCCAGTATTAGTTTTCAGCCCTGACCCTTGCATGTAGAGATTTTTTCTGATTCTCTAAATCTTGTATAATAATAAATAATGATTCCGGCAAGATTCTTTGCAATTTTACATTGAGATACATGATTCTTAAATTGTTGAGTGGTGAATCCCTCCACATCTTTACTTCAGAAAGACTGGGATGCTCTCTTTACACCCTATCATCTTACTAACTGATCAATTGCGAGATGTTCCACCAGGCGATTTCTTTTAGCATTTCACAACTTTTCCATTCTTTTGTTCTGTCCCAACTTTTTGTGTTTCTGGCATCAAATTCAAAGGTAGGTGCTACAGAACAGTATACAATAACCTGGTGACTCTAACATCCACCTGCAAATTAGTAGCTGTTCATATTGTACATAAGGCATATATATCATCCACCTGCCTCATGTACATAATAATATTGTATAATGTACATAAAGTATTGCATAATTACTGCACAGAAATATTTATTTATTCCAGCATCCTTTGCACTATCTCACTACAAATCTGCTGTCTACAAATGTTTTTTTTGTCTATGGTTGTGTGTACATGTTTACTTTCTTTGTAGTCTGTTGTTCAGCTTGTTGTCCTGTTTGTTAATGCAGGTAATGTTTTTTGTATGTATACTGAGAGTAATATAAAACCGGTGTGTATGTGTACACATCTCAGGCCATTAAAGGTGATTCTGAAATGGATATATAATTTTCCAAAAACCATACAGTTTCCTAGGTTCATTTCATTAGATAAGTTGACTTTGTGCTACATCATCACATTTTGTTAATATTTGCATTTTACTCAGCAACTTTTGTGGAAACAGGATTGTCTTGATATTTAAAATGGGATCATGATCAAATATCATTGTCTTAATAAATCATCTTAACTACAAGTTCTCTCCCAAACATTTAAAAATATAAGCAGCTTCTGCTCTTTTCATCATTGAGGCTGATGTTTTGAGGAAATGCTGCAACTATTGACAAAATTAAAAGTACTTTTGTATTTTATCTGAGACGAGTAACAAATATGTTTTGGGTTTAGTCCCTCTTTACATCACTGTGATCCTCTGTGTTGATGTTCAGTGAACATTGATGAGCTTACAGAAATGTTAACAACAAAACATTTCCACATAAAGTTTAATTTGGAGTGTGATTTTTTTCCCATGTGACAAAATGCAGCAAATAAAAAGGGGGTGTGGTCAGGGCAGAAAGAGGGCAGGGCCTGCAGGTGACTGACAGAAGCCTTTTGTCACGGTTACGTTAGCTCGCTCCAGCTATAGGCCACAAACAGCAGAACTAGGCAGAGGATGTGAAGCAGGCTTGAGCCAATAAGGTCCCAGATTTGCCATGCGGGAGGCGGGGTTTGGGTGGTTACAGAAACCAATGAGGGAGTCTCTGACACCCCAGAGGAGGTGGGGTTTGGAGTCGAGATTGCCTGTTTCCTGTGCAGAGATGTCGCATCCAAGGCAGCCAGTGCCTGAACTGTGGCACAAACCGGCTGCAGGCGGCACTGGATGATGTCATAAGGCGAACAGAGGGAAGACTGGCACCCCCATTGTGAAGACGGTGGAAAAATATATGGAAGGAGAGGAAGGAGGGACAAGAATGGAAGGAGGTGGGAACGAAACAACAAAAAGGAGGGAAGAAGGGAAACAAGGAAGGAAGAAAGGAGGAAAGGGAAAGGGGGAAACAAGAGAGGAAGGAGATGAGGGAAGGAAAAGGAGAAAATAAACGAAATAAGGGAAGGAGGGATAACAAGGGAAGGAGGTGGGAACGAAACAACAAAAGGAGGGAAGAAAGAAGAGGAAGGAGATGAAGGAAAGATAAGTGGAAAAATAATGGAAGCAGGAAGAGTGATGACAAAAGAAAACATAGATGGAACAAATGTGGGGGGAGGAAACAAGGGAGTGAGTAAAAGAATGAGAGTAGAAAGTTGGAGGTAAAGACGTGCAGGAGTGTTTACAACCAAAAAAAAGGAGAAGAGACAGGTGAAATATTCTCCCAGAAAGAAACCAACCAAAAACAACATTAGAAAAAGAAGATATAAACGTAATAATAGAGGATGGTGAAACAAAGGAGGAGGAGGAGAGGAAAAGGATATGTGATGAAGAGGATGGGGTCGCAAAAAAATGAACAAACCGTTGAATCAAAATCAAAAAGTTTTAGAGGCAGAAATGATCCAGAGAAAAATTAAAACAGAAAAAGAAAATATATACAAAAGAGAGAATGTCGATGAAGAGAAGAAAAGAGGAGGAAGAAGAGAACGGAGCGAGACGTGGTGCGATCCAGCCGGAAAGTAAAAAAGAGAAAGAAAAGGCAGGAGGTTAACCAACCAATGGACACAGAGGTCAAAGGTCACAAGAGAAAGTGAGCTCGATGGGGTGAACAAGCAGGGATGCTTACTGAGAGGATGGACAGGTGAGACCTCTCCTCTCCCAGTAAGCAGACCGTGATGAGGAGAGAGGTGGCTGATGGGAGAGCCAGTGCAGGGTCAGCCAGCAGCGCAGCAAGTTAGCACAGAAGCTGTTAGCACGTTAGCTTGGAGATGCTTTTAGCACGTTAGCTTGCAGAAGCGTGGCCAGTAAAGCAGGCTAGTTAGCAACGTCCACACAGAAGCTGGAAACAAGTCAGCAAGCAGCAGGGATGGAGGTCAAAGGTCAACCAGTCAGTTCAGAGAAACAGCTTAGAACAGGATGAATCAAAGACATTGACCCTTTCTGTCTCTTTTGGGTTTTTTTCAACCAATGTTTTGTAAAAATTCTACAATTACACATTAACACGACGTTATAAAACATACAAACATAAAAAGAAACGAACAATCCTGACTGACAAATTAATAAAGTGCCAGGGATGTGAGAAACCTTTAAACTCAAACTTACATTATTCCCTTTCCTGGTTTAAATATGGATCATTTGAAGGGAATGACATCATCATAATGGCCAGCTGTCAGCCTGAATAAACTACCTCTCTCACTCTCGTTTAAACCTGCATTCTCTCTAATGGCCAGCAGGGGGCAACTCCACTGGCTGCAGAAGAAAGTCTATGAGAAAATGAGACTTTAGGGCGGGGCCACTACCATGGCAACCTGTCAATCAGGATAGAGGCGACTCATTTTAACCAGCCTTGTTGAAAAAGCAAATTAGGAGTCAGCTGTTTTTTTCCGTTAAGTACATTTTCTTCTGTTTGTTGCTAGCCAAAATGAACATCACGGTTAACAAGAATTATGGAAGCAACTTGATAACCAAGCTAGCTAGCTTCACCCTCGATCAAATAGGGTCAAAAAAATGGCGACTGCCAAAAAGCCAGAATTGAGGCAAAAAAAAAAAGTAGACCACAAACAAACAGGCTAAATCCACTTCTTTCAAACAGTCTGTAGTTCTCTCCTGTCCCCTCATCCTGTGTCAATGTGAAACACCCCAGTGAGACAGAGAGAAGCTCAACTGTTTTATTGTGATTTATTTGTAAAACTCCTACGACTGACGCGCCTATATCTTTACTGTCAGTGTGTAAAACACCTTTTCTGTTGATTCATTCTGTTGCAGATTTAAAGGGATAGTTAGACATTTAGGGAAATAAGTTCATTGCCTTTCTTACAAAGAGTGAGATGAGAAGATGGACACACACCTGTACAAACCGGTCAAAACGATGCTAAAGACAGCCGCCGTTTAGCTTAGCTTAGCTCAAAGACTGGAAACAGCTAGCCTGGCTCTGTCTAAAGCCAACAAAATTCTATTAAACACACTAACACATAGTTTTAGTGTTAAAAAGACCGGTGTTTTACAGGGGTTATGTGCCAGACTATTTCTTAGATGGGACCAAGGAAGTAAAACATAGTTTAGCACATAGCCCCCAGCAAAGCGCTGTTTTGTCATCTTTACACTTTGGTTTTTGTTTTGGATTAAACAAATGAGAAATGCAGTTGCTTCCTCCAAAGGTTCCTAGATCTGGGGTATAGTTCCTGTAGACGAAGCACGGTTTTTGACAAAGTCAGGCTAGCTGTTTTCCCTTATTTCCTATTTTTATGCTAAGCTAAGGTAACCAGCTGTTGGCAGTAGCTTTATATTTGAGGGTGGTGTCAGATCTTCTCACGTGACTCTCAGCCAGAAAGAGATAGGTGTATTTCCCAAAATGTCAAATTTTCCCCATTAAGACTATCTTTGGTTTTCTCTCCTGCTGCTGCTGTATTTCCCAGAATCCACCAGTGAGAGCATACAAACATTACCAGGGACAGATTCAGGACATTTATTCAGCTGCTACACATGCACTGAGACTGCATGTTCCCCTTTCACACATCCAGCCTGCACGCTAACACTCCTCTGACGCTGCTGAGGTGCAGATCTGTTTTCCAGAAAAAGTCAAATCTAATCTCTTTTCAGTGCATTTTCTCTCTCTCTCTCACACACTCACACACACACACACACACACAGTAAACCCAGACCAGCTCTGTTTCAGACTGCCGTTTTGGTCAACTCCTGTCATGATGGAGGAAGCTGGAAGCCACAGGCAGCGGTGACAGTGGTGATGATTCAGCGTTAAACGTCGACACATTAACAACCCAGTTTAAAAAGCAATGTGAACAAAAAGGAGGCAGGGAGGAACATTAAACCAGTGCTGGGAAAACGCTGGGCGAGTTTTAATTTAGAAACATAATTTGGGCGGTAGAAGACATAAATGAGAGTGTCGCACTCAGCAGTTCTTTGAGGTAAAGACCTCACAGGCTGTCGTGAGTAGGTTCAGATTTCAATATAAGTTTCCAGGCTTTGTGTTTTGTCGAGTATCAATTCTGGATTTCAGGAGGATCTGGTGACAAACAGATTGAGAACTGCTGCTGTTTAAAATATGACCCCATCAGCCTTCCTCCCAGATCTGGTTTAGAGTTTAGTGTCGTCATCAGTGTCCTGCAAAAATCCTCGGCTTCACTTTTTACCTTGTTTACCAACATCAATGTCATTAATGTGAAATAACGTTTTATGTTAATGTTACATGAACAGCTAATGTTCTAGAGACTGAAGAAATTTTTGCAGGACACCTTCACAGTTCCTTTTACATCTTCTTGTGGTTATTTGATCAACAATCAGTTAACTGAAGCCAAAACATGTTGATGAGGAGGTGAAAATGTTGGTTTCTCTGATGAACTGGGGGTGTTTTCAGGTTGGAGGTTCAAATCCCTGGACTGACTGAATGCTGAACGACTTCAGCGGCGGTGGAGCTGCCATGTTTGTTTATAAGCTATAATTTTCTATAGAACAAATTGGACAATAGAGCTGCAACAATTAGTCAATTCATCAAATAGTTGTGAACTATTAAATTAATCAGCAACTATTTTGATAATCGATTAATTGTCCTAAGAGTCCTTTTTTTAAAAGAAAAAACATCCAATTTATCTTATTTCAGCTTCTTCAATGTGAATATTCTCTGGTTTCTTTGCTCCTCTGTGACAGTAAACTTAATATATTTGGGTTGTGGACAAAAGAAGACATTTGAGGACATCACCTTGGAAACATTTTTCACAATTTTCTGGACCTAAAAACTGATTGACAAAATAATCCACAGATTAATCGATAATATTCATTAGTTGCAGCCCAACTGGACAATAAACACAAAACAGGGTAACCCTGCACAACAGGGGTTTTCTGTAATACTTTTCCACCCCATTAAACAAAATCAAGACTGCCTGCATTTCCCATGAAGCTTTGGATAATAAACAGGAAGTATAATGTTGCAGTGGATTCAGGGAGTTAGGTGTAGGCTTGTGTGCACCAATAAAAGTAGCTGAATTAGCTGTTAGCAGTTCCTGTTTGCAGTGTTCCCATGGATGTGCAGACAACTATCACGGGACTACTACTGAAGAAAACTTACAATCATAGGAACCTAGGACCCCCAGTTCAGAGAGAAGGCCGTCAGAGCACCAACGGGGTGGGGTGGGTCACATGTCTTACCTCTGGTACACCAATCTTCCTGCAGGCGTCCAGGAAGTTCTCCACATTTCTCCGACACTTGGCCATGCTGAGTTTGGGCTGGAAGCACAAAGACACATTTACACAACAGGACTACTTTTCTGAAAACAAACAGAACACATTTCACCAAGATTATGAGGTACTTGTTGAGATCAGAAATAAAATCCTGGACATTTATCTCAGTAGTCGTAGGTCAGGACTGACAGTCTGAGACGTACCACTGCAGGCGAGGGCACGTGGATGCTGCCAACAGAGCGTGGCCGAATGTGATTGGCCAGATGGCAGAGCACGACGCCGTCCATCAGAGAGGACCCGAGGTCTTCAGGAAGGGCGACCTTCAGTCTGCTCTCGATGCTCTGAGGAGAAAACGACAGTTTAGAGAGGTATGTGTGAGTACGATGGGCTCAAGTTGAACCAGGAAGTCGTCTTCAATATCTAAAGGGCTGTTAAATCTAGCTGCATTTCCCCTATAAATAAACTGTTTTTATGACTGATAGAATTAGTTAGTTACAAGATCCAGGTTGTAATTCCCCCACCCACAGAATATCCCTTTAATCAGACACTAATGATTAGTGAACAGTGAGGTGAGTGTGTCTCACGTCTCGCAGTTGCTCCATGAGCTCCAGCTCCTCTCGCAGCTGCTCCATCTTTCTCCTCATGGTGAACTGAGGATCAACAGACTCCAGACTCTTGTGGCTTCGCAGGAACACTGCAAACAAACACGACAGCAACAGGCAGCGTTAGACTGAGACCGCAGCAACACAGTAACACAGCCAGAGTCCGTGCACATTAGGAGGGCCACAGGAATATCTGTAAAACACACAAAGAGTTTCACAAACTCCTGCTGAGCTGAGAATGCATGAGTGCTCCAGTCAAATTACAGCTACAGAGATCATCCTGAGCACAAACACACACAGACCTCGAAAATGTGTGTGTGAGGTTATTCCATGCTTCAGTATCATCAAGATGACTACACTGTTCAGCACTTTGTGGAAGCATCACCTTTGAGCAGTGCAAACATCTCTCCTACAGCTGCAAAGTGCTTTTTAAGTGTTCAGTCATTAAAATTTCAATAGCTTTCAGTACAACTAAAAAGTCATGGTCATCTTTTCAAAGAAATGGGTCCTTGATCTCAGACAGATGTAGGCTTAAGTCATCTGAAGTTAGCTAGCTAACAGTAACTAACATTAAACGAGTTAACTTTGTGTGTGGTTATTAGGTACACCGAACTAAATCTAACACAGTCTAATAATAAATCATCTTGATGAAGGCTATAATGTTCAGTTTGTGTTGAAACAGGTTGAGTGAGTGTTGACTGAACTGTATGACCAACAGTTTGTGCTGCTGTTGAACTGAACTATAGAGAGAGGTGTTTCTGTTATTTAGTCCAACCCCACGGATGTAACTGCAGAGGACTGAGAAGAGCTTCAGAGTGGTCTGCTTTAATCTGGATGCAGAAAACTGACTTCCTGTACGTCCACATCTGTACTCACATACGCAGTGACACAGAAGTCCTTTCTGCCATAAAAGATGTAAAAGGCTTACGTAAGATTCACACGCACTCGTGCAGTCAGAGCTCAGTGCACTGTGTAATAACAGCCTGCAGAGCAACACGCTGAAAACTGATTACACACTAAAACCTCTGTGTGGAGAAATGTTTTGTCATCTGTCAGATTATTCTGATGGCAGAAGATTACATTTGTGGAAATAATTAGGTAAAGCTAAATAAAACTGGTGCACTTCATTTTGGTTAAAAAGGGGTTCAGTGTCTTGCTCAGGGACAAATTGGTGGATGTGTTGCAGTCGGAATTAAACCAGGGTCTTCCACACCAAAGGCATGTCCAGGTCTTATCCAGTGCACCACCCATTGGACAGAGCAAGGCTCGCTTGCATCTAATCTTTATGCTAAGCTACGCTAATTAGCAGCTGACTGTAGCTTAACAGACAGATATGAGAGAAGTATCTTCTCATGTCTAACTCTCTATAAGAAAGTCAATGAGGATATTTCCCAAATTGTCAATATGATATGAATCAGAACGAGGGCTCGATGGGAACTGGAAGTAATAAGTAGAATCACATTCAGTAAACGTTTAACTATAACAGGCTCAGAGAGAAGAGCAGTTTTTCTTAACAGTGTGTAGGAGGACAGAGAGCAAAACACACACCCACATACATGAAACACACACACACACACACACACACACAGGTGAATCATTCATCTCCTCAGTATCCTATTTTCTGCACACATAAATCTGCCTTTTCCAGCTAAACACAGCTTGAATCTGTGTACGTCCACTGAGTGACCATGAGGGGGAGCTACTGGGTCACTACAGTGGTGCTCAACTGAAGACATGTCCTCTGCAGGATGTGAACGTTTTGGTCTTCACAGTTGAGCACTTAAAACTGCATTTTTAACACTCTCACAGCCCTGACACAGCAGGAAGCTCTTCACTAAACTACAGACGTCTTAAAAACAAAAACATGTCTCTGGTTTTAGGTTAGCAAAAAGTGTATATTGTGGAAATGGTCATGAGACAACAACGTAGTGGGAGGCAAATAAAACAAACAAATAATATGACTTGATACTTGAACTTTTGGTTACTTAAGGTAAACATGGGCCTTTCAACTGGGTTGGTGAGAAATTAAAAAGGGAGAATGAGAATGATAATGTGCACTGCGCAGGTGTTTTTATCATCTCAGGTCGGGGTAGGATGTTCACGAGTCTGAGGAAACGTGAACAGCCTCTTGAACATCCAGCAGAATGAAAGACCCAGTAATGAGTTGTTTGTTTCAGATAATCCTGAGTGACGTGTGGTCTCTTTGGAGGACAGAGGGAAAGGGAATATAATGAATCCAGTAGTTTTATCTCAGTTTTATCTTCTAGGTCAAGTCATCTTCCTCCTCCTCCTCTCTCTAAATGTCTCACTGCCATCTGCACAGTTTGAGCCTGCAGCATCTTGTTTCTGTGCCTCCACTGAAGGGTTATTAAAAGGTTTTGGAGGATATTTTTAAAATGCCGTGGGACTTTATGTCATCTACTTCACGAGTAAACTATTTCTAGCTCGCTAAATGTAGGAACTCGCTCGTACAGTCGCCGCCTTGAAAGACAGTGGCCTGGGTCACAGAACCACAGTCTTGTGTGATCAAAGATCAGTCACTCAGTAGTAAAAACAAAATGAGAGGTCCACACAGTTTCTCAAAGATAGTTTACAAGTAGGGATGTCACGATACCAAAAATTTAGTAGTCAATATAATACCAGTGAAATTGCACGATATCTGATACCCAATTCGATACCTCAGTAAAAAACAAAAACCAAACAATAAATCCCATGTACTTCAACATACACTCCTTTAATAAAAACACACTGTAGGAAAATGAATACCATTGTGTTTTCAGAATTTTGCCATCAACTTGGTACCCAAGACTCGGTTCTCATGACATCCCCATTTACAAGTAACCATTTCTATAAAAGGTTTGACCTTCAAAGGTTTCCATTAACATTTATCATCCTCCTGCAGTTGTTCAGCAGATTATTAAAGAGAAATTGAAACGAGGCAGATACAGCTTTCAACAGCTTCTGCTGTACAGCCCTTCACAGTACAATACTACGTCTACACTATGTCATAGAAAAGTAAAATACTTTGTAATACGTCATAGCTGCGCCTCTTTTTGGGCGATCCCTAAAGATCCTATAGATGCCAATGCAATTTAAGGTGTGTTTGGATCATGTCATGTTAACCAAACCTTGTTGTTTAGACATCTCTTTTGTGACTGATCCAAAGCGTTCACGCTACCTTAATAAATTAAAGTTAATCGGTCAGCTGTCATGCCCCTTCAAACTTCCCACATCCGAATGGATCAATGACCCAACACAGGGGCCAGATGTTGCTCATCTGGACGTCTGATTAAATCTCCAGGAATCTTAGGGTAAGATATACTTTATTGTGTTTGTTTACAACCAACTGTTTGATCTCGGCTAGGCTGAGATTTAGCTGGTTCTACTGTATGACTGTACACTGTCTATGACAGTGAATATTAAGGTGTTTTTTGCCTCAAATGCACCTCTGTATTTGTATGTTTATTTGTTTTACAAGCTGCTACACAACAGCTTTTCTACATTTTACTGATTATCTCATTATGCAAAAACTGAAAAAAGGGTACGAATGCACTGAATGTTCAGCCGCTGAAATTAATCGGTCGAAAATAGCAAAAAAAACAACAACAACAACAAAAAAAAACAGGTTTGGTGCTCAGCCTAATACGTGTCAAAATTTTACCAAACAATTACGTTGACATGTCAGCAGTGTGGAAGCATTCTAAAGTGTCTGAGAAAGATGCAAAAATTGCCATTTGCAGACACTGTTCTGCTGAATTGGCTCCTAGCACATCCACTCCATCTGTGGCTGACTTCTTAGAAAAGGCAACAAACGGATGAACAATTGGATGAATACTGAACGCTTGCTTGGTGTTCAGTATTCATCCGATATTTTCATTATATTCGATTTCGGCCAAGATTTTTCATTTCTATCCCTAAAAAAGGGGGATGCAGCTTTCGTGCCAGACAGAAATTACCAAAAGTCTGCTAGCAGCTCTGTGAGTCTGTACTGCAGCACATTGAGCTAAATACTGTCATCCACATGCTAACAATAACAATGCTACCATGCTGATGTTGACCATGTTCACAATCTTAGTTTAGCATGTTAGCATGCTACCATTAAAGAAAAGTATTGTACAAATTCAAACTTTGAAATGATGATGGCACTAGATGAAAAGTCAGGATCACCAACAACAAGTTCATCCTGAGGTGAACATGAAGGTCTGAACTGCATTTCATCACAACACATCAACAGCTGCTGAGATGTTTCATGAAAACCAAAGATGTCACCTCATGGTGGAGCTAGAGTTAAAGTCAAGAGATCACCAAAGGCAGTAGGACTTTAAATATCTGTACAAATGTTTGAGCCAATCCATCCAATAGCTGCTGAGATATTTCAGTCTGAACCAAAGTGGGACCGACTGCTTGGTGCCACAGACGGTAAATCTTGCCATCACCTGTTTCTCTTTGGTACAGTTAACAGATAATATCTCTGATCAGGGAGCTGATCTGGTGTTTGTCTGTGAGAAACAAACATTTTCCCACAGTGTGGCGTTTATTTCTATTCTGAGATCTGTGAGTCTGTACAAATGTGCAGACAGAGCAAAGTGCTGCCACTGCTGAGGCCTCAGGTTCAGGTCCTCTGAGGGCACTATGGAAGGAAACTAAGTCGTTTTCATAAAAGAGAATCAGAAATATTAAAGTGAATATACACAAATTAATGTATAGAAAAACAACCCTATAAAATTGTTTTATATTTAGATTTATAATTACACAGATGGCACCAGCTGGTTGGTACCAGCTCTTTCTTTTTCATGTTTTATTGAACTAAGTAGTTCTACACATATGTACTTTCTTGTATGTATATAGCTTTTAATAATTTCTTTAATTTTTAAGGTAAAAACATCCGTTTTCCTCTTTCTCTCCTTTTCCGCTGTAAAATATAAATGTTTCTGCTTGGAGATCAACAGTCTTCAATTTCATTTGAGCAGTAGCCTTGGAAACAGGATTCATTGAAAACAGAACTTAAATTCATCTTTAGCTGCATTGCATTTTGGTGTTTTTGGTGAAAGCAGATGACGGCAACAACCTGCTTCACATTCACACTTCTGTTTTCTGTTTCAGCTGTTGGGACTGAACAACACCTCAGCTCTGGTTATAGTTTTGGTTAAAGGTTTGATTCATCC